GGTCCAAAAGGAGGAGCCGTTGGAATCCTGGCACTGTTTTTCTTTCTCTGGAGGTGTCTTTTTGTTGTCAATATGAAGAGCTACTGCATGTGGTTTTCCAACAGAGGGAGGTTGGTGAAGATGCAGGAAAGGATTCTAGAATAGGGCTTTGCCAGCCAACGTGGATAAAACTAAGAGCCATCAAGATCCTTCATCCAAACGACTCTTGAACTTCAGGACGTTCAAAACTTGGATCCAGGTTAAATCTCTGCAGCTTGATCTCCTCTCTCTGGAACCCACGTGCCTCTGCTCTTCTTGGTCCCGTCCAGACGAAGCGCCAAAATACTTCACCTCCAGGAAGCCCATTCTTGGGAGGCCCCCCCGACCCTCTCTGCAGACTCAGGAAGTTCAGCTAGTTCAATTGTGTTCAGACAAAACTATAACCTCTGCCTTTTGGATCATTACTCACCTTTAACCCTGATCTGTGCTGGGCTCCTTGAGGATGGATGTCCGAAAGGGAAGAATATCTCCCTAGGTGTGGAAGCAAGTGGATGGAAAAGGAGTGATTCTACTCCTGCAGCAGCTGATTCCTTTGTTGAGCTCTAAGGACCCTTTGTGTTTGCAAATCAGAGATGCCTGTTACTATCTGTAGGGTAAATGGTTTTTTCTATGACAATTACACCCACGACGGATGGAATTAAAGTGATTGAATCAATTTCTGGGGAGTTGTTTCAGAATGACTGAGTCACATGCGTCTGCCTGACCTGGTAGTTTTTCTCTCTGAGTAGTTTGAAATGTGACCGAGCTGCTGGGTTCTCCTCGGTTTCCTATAGGAAATCCTTGCATCCTGTTTATTATCCTTATTGAGCACTGCCCATGTGCTAGGTGGTTAGAGGACGATGATGTCTCTGTCTCCCGCGCTGCATCAGTGATTTAGACCAAGTTGTTTGTGCAGGATTGTTTGTGCTTTCGCTACAAACGGGTGATATCCTTGAAAGTCCCAGGTCCCATTTGTTAGTTGACACCACTCAAATGTTTTGCGGTATTGATCCAGCAAGGAACCAGGCTCCTTTGGGGAAGGGGAATTGACCGACCTGAGCAGGGTTTGAAAAGCAGCTATAGAGGTAGAGAGCTGAGAGTCAGGAAAAGAGAAGGCAACTAGGAGACCTCTCTGATGCGGTGGATACCTCCAATCACATCTTAATACGTTGTCCTGGGATTGCAGCCAGGCCTGCAGGATGGTTATCTATGTGCCTGGTAAATATAATATATTACTGGTCTGGACTCACACACACACACTATCTAAAATATCCCTTCCTCTCTAAACAGAACAACAGGTCCCCACCCCTTCTTATCCTGGACTCTTCAAGAATGATGATGTGCTCCCCCAAAATGCCAATGACAAGCTAATGTAAGCTGGACTAATTTTGTTTCCTGTGAATGATACGTCCTCTCCAGTAATGTAAATTGTCCGCTACTAAATGGTGCATCCGTCACAAACTAGGGATCACCAAATAAAATTAATAGGCAGCAGGTTTAAAACAAACAAAAGGAAGTATTTCTTCACACAACAC